GGGAGAAAGATGAGGCTTTCTACTCCCGTAAAGATTTACACCCTCGGAAACCCTGTACAGGGTCGCTATGGGTCGGAACCGACTCCACGGCATTTAACAACAACAACATCTACTAGAAGTCCTTGTGTGGCACTGTAGGACAAGCACTTTACTGTTAACCACAAAGTGGGTGGTTCAAACCCATCGGCTGATCCTCAGAAACCCTATACAGAGAGACTTTGAGTGGGAACCGACTCTACAGTACTTAACAACAAAAATGACGGTGTGTGATAAGGGGATCACTGGTGACACTGTGGGATAAGCACTGGACCGCTAACCACAGGGTAGGTATTTCAAACCCACAAGCCACTCCTCAGAAGACAGATGAGGCTTTATGCGTCCATAAAGATTAACAACCTTGGAAACCCTATACAGGGTCACTCTGAGTTGGCACATAACAATAATAACACAAAAGCAACAATCTATAGTATATGTCCTGGGGTGGCTCTGTGGGTTAATGCACCAGACTGCAAAGCCATTTGAACTGCAAGGTTGGTGGTTCAAGCTCACCAGCCACTCCTTGGAAACCCTATCCTGGGTCTTTATGGGTCGGAATCGACTCGATGGCACTTAACAACAACAACATAGTATGTGCATTAGGGCCTCTTGGTGGCATTGTGGAATCAGTACCAGATTGCTTACCACAAAGTCAGCAGTTCAAACCCACCACCTGCTCCTTGGGAGAAAGATGAGACTTTTTGCTCTTATAAAGATTTTCAGCCTTGGAAACTCAATACAAGGTCACTAGGAGCTGAAAGCTGACTCAGTGGCAGTGGTTTTAATGTGCATATAAATTTGAAAGGCTTTCAAAAGTTCATGCAAAAGCGGAATTAAAAGATAACAAAATCTTTTCATGAACTTTTTGAAGCACCCCTCACATATACTGGCTTATACTATATTAACTGCTGCATTGATAAATAAAATGAGGGCTAATAGTAAATTGTGGCAGTATGTTAAATATAGTGTATGCTTTGATTTTAATATGCAAGAGGTCCTGATTGCTTATTCTGGTACAATCCTTATTAATGAAATGTTTTCCTCCTGACAGATATGGATGCAAGAGGATCAACTTCAGCCATCTTGACTGTCCACCCTATCTCCAGTTCTGTACCCATAGTACTGTTCTTTATTGTAAATGTTCTGGGGTGACAACTTTTTTTAAAAAAATTATTATTATTTACTGGAAAGTTAGTTGAATACAAAGTGCTTTCATGAAATGCAGTGATTATGCATGTGTGTTTTTGGTTTTTTGTTTTTTCAGCTCAGTTTTTAACTTTCTACATCGTTATGGGTAAAATATGAATATAATTTTTAAACAAAGCAGTAAATCCTTTTAGGGGACTCTGAAATGCCTTAATCTTTACCTGATGAACCAAAGGAATTTACATATTACATACTTCACACTTTTGATATAAATGTTCTTAAACTTTGAGTTCCAGACCTGCCTAAGGATAGACTCTCCCATACTCTCATACATAGAAACAGACAAGATTTAAAAATAAAAAGTTCAAACCCTTATTATACTAAGCCAAATGCTCTTCTCCCATTACACAGGCATTGCCTGAAAGTCTTAATCAGTAACCTTTTAAAATGTTAATTTTAATCCCCAAGGGTGGAAAATACAATGAAAAGATTATCCTTTTTGGAAAGGTTTCCAGAGTGTTAAGAAAAAATGCTCCAGAGGCCTCAGAAGCTAGGCCAGGTGAGCTATTTGCTTCTGAAAAGCCACAACTTTCCACACAGGGTCACAGTCCACTCAGAGGCAACTCACCACAGAACGTGGCAGGCTTAGGATGCCACTAAGTAAGTATGCTGTGAGACTGTATAAATTACTTTCTGCTCTGTATGTCTCCGTTACTCAATTATAAAATGTGAAGATGGTTATCCCCACCTTGCCTGCATCTAGAAGGATCCATGGTGGCACTCTGAGTTAAGCCTCAGCCTGTTAACCTCAAGGTCAGAGGTCCAACCTATCATTTGCTCCAAAGAAGAAAGATAGGCTGCCTTCTCTTGTAAAGATGTACAAGCTTGGAAACCTTAAGGAGTAGTTGTGGTCGGTCCTGTTATTGTTCTATGCTGTGGAGTCGGTTCTGACCCATAGTGACTCTGTACAGGGTTTCTGAGGCTGTAAATCTTTACCGGAGCAGAACGCCTCATCTTTCTCCTGCGCAACAGCTAGTAGTTTCCAACTGCTGACCCTAAGGTTAGCAGTCGGATTAATGACCACAGCGTAGTGGTTACGAATCGGGCTGCGAGCCTTAAGGTCAGCGGTTCGAAACTACCAGCTGCTCCGCGGAAGAAAGATAAGGCTTTCTATTTCCGTAAAGATTTACACCTTCGGAAACCCCTGTACAGGGTCGCTATGGGTCGGAACCGACTCGACGGCACTTAACAACAACAACAACACACTACCAGAGAGGGTCATTATGAGTCAGAACTGGCTTGATGGCAGGGAGGTTTTGGTTTAACTGCCTCTACCCAAGAATTATGTTAAAAGCTAAAGAAAGAAATGTAAACATGTTTTGTTATCCTTAATGCTCTGGGACTATGCAAAGTGTTGGTATCAAGTCATGGTTTCCAGCCACATACTTCAAGTCTGCTTTGTAAAGCCTGTTTTCTTTTCCCCTTAATCATATTAGACTATAGAAATGACTGCATTTTACCCTTTTTCTGAAATTATAAACAGATTATGCCCTCTCTCTCCAACATCTCCCCCCTCCAATCCCCCAACATACACACCTATGAAAAAACCTTGAGCTTTTATTAAAATGTGGTAGAGAAAATAAGGGACTATCAACCCAATTATTACCCAAAATTCACACTGCCCCTCACTTCCCATTTCGGATTCCATTCAGGGACCTTCTCTTTTTGGATGGCAGAGATAGCTTTCGTTTTTAATGAAATCCAACCGTCTGTCTAAGTGAGTCTGGCGGGCTTTTTAGTTCCTGAGTTAAATTTGTAATAGAACCATGGCAGTGTTGCTGACTTTGATATGTATGAGTCTGTCTTTCAATATGTGGTTTCAAAAGATTGTTGAAGACGTGGCTTCAGAGCAATATGTAAAGAATATATGAAAACCGGCAGATTGAGTGTTAGACATTGAAAATTCAATTTTTACCTCTTTCCTACCAATTTCACATTTTTTCAGAAACTTATACTTATTTCCAAAGTTATCAGAATTTGAAACTAACAGTTCAGACATGGAGAAAGATTAAAATTTGGCAAAATTCTGATGTCACCATGAAACATTACATTTGGAGATTACACTTAAACATAAAGTCATTGTATACAAAGGAGAGAGGTTTTTATAATGTTCTCTGTAAAGTCTGTATATAATGTATATATCTAGGAAAAGTCTGAATGACTAGTAGATTTCATATGGCCACTGTTATTTCAAACAAGTGGAGAACTGCTTTCTCCAGTAACCTGTATTTTATGCTGTATGGAATGAATTGTACCTTTTCATGATTTAGTAATGCCTGTAATATGTTCCTATGCTTTTCATTTTCAAGATGATTATTTTATTGTTTCACATCAATTCTAGCAATATATCTCCATGAGATATGTACTTTGTTTCATATTGAAAAGTATAAAATTTACCTTTAAACTCCTGTGTGTGTATCCTATGGTTATCTGTATGTATTATTTTCTATTATTCAAATAAAATTTATAATGGTAAAATGGCCCTGCTTTGTTAATTTTGGAGTGGTCACAAAGACTCTCTAGAAGGAAAAGGAGTGTACTCTTAATAGTTAAAGTGACGTTGCCATTTCTTATATTTTCAAGCCAATTTTCAGCTTTTGTTGAATATTTCAACAAGATATTAAAAAATACTTTTATAATGTATTTACTCAGCAAAGTCAGCAATTTGAAACAATGACCTCTATGTTAGAGGTATTTTAGGTGTGGTGGAAAAAGAAGGGAAGAGAAAACACAAAATTCAGTTTGTAGAACTAAATTATCTAGTGTCCTCTGATTTTATTACAATCATGGTAGCTACTCCCATGTATTTAACCATTATTTTCTTGAAGTTCATATTGTTATCAACTTACCAAGTCCTCTACGTATTTTCTCAGTGATATACTCATTGGTAACAGTGATAGATTAAAACTTGCTTCTTGTGATATAATCTAATGTGGTGCTGTACAGGGTCGCTATGGGTCGGAACCGACTCGACGGCACTTAACAACAACAACAACAACAATGTGGTGTTATAGGATAAGCACTGGACCTCAAGGTCAGTTTAAACCACTGAGTTGGCAAATCAGACTCACCAATTGCTCCTCGGACATCCTGCACAGGGTGGCCATGAGTTGGAATTGACTCAACAGCACTTGACAACAATAACAATAGCTGAATATATATGTACTAGAAAAAGATCTGTTTTAAAGAAATGAACAATTTGAAGTGTTACTTTGTGTAATGAAAACTAAAGCTAAAACAATTCAATTATATTCTTATGTGAAATTTAAAGATCTGTTTGGAAGTAGAAATAAATGAGAAAAATGCGTATAGAGTGTGGGGTATGATTGTAAATTGAAGTATAGTTGTAATGGGTATACTGTTGTCCGTTGCCATGGAGCCAGCTCTGAACCAAGACGACCCCACATAAAACAACAAAATTTTACCTAGACTTGCACTGTCTTCAGAATCGCTGGTCAGTTTGAGTCCGGTGTTGCAATTACTGTGTATTTTGAGTGCTTTCTACTCTAGGCTGTTTATTTTCCAGTACCGTATTAGACAGCATTCTGTTATCATCCATAAGGTTGTCATTCATTAATTAAAATTTTGTTTTTGTTTCCATTGTCTTTTATTATTATTATTATTGTGAACTGAGTGATAATGTACATGAGAGAACATCCATTTTACACCATCGTTTCATTGAAGTGATTACAATCTCCTCCGTATATCATCATTCAACAGTGTTTGCTTACAATTCCCTCTATTTTTAGGGGAGTGGGGTGGGTGAAGAGGGGGGACGTACACAAAAACACTCAGGAGTATATAATAATTTAAACAACCAAAGGACACATTCT